AACATGCTTCCAATAATATTTGATAGGTATATACTTTAAAACCACTGATCGTATCGGTATAAGAATATGTTGTATTATCGAAAACCTTATTTTTCGCTAATACCCGATAGATCAGTTTGCTATTTTTATATTTTAACTTGTTGTCGATGCTCAATTATTGTTGCTTATTGTTATTGACACTTTTTGCTGTTTATACTTTATACTTTTACTGCTTATGCTTATGCTTATTTGCTGCTTATGTCGTTAATTCTTATTTGCTGTTTGCTAACACTTAATTGTTGATAACACTTAATGTTTAATTGAATGTTAATCATCATTACTGGTTAAAGTAAAATTTCCACTATTTTTAAAATTTTTTCAATTTTTATGATGTGTGGTATATAAAATTTATGTTTTGAATAATATCGAAATATAGCATGTATAACCCATTGTTCATTTTTTCACTATCATTATTAGCTTCACCATTCTTTTTCGCTCAAGTTTGTTTTGCCATATTTTGGGGGGTGATTTCCGATAGATTTGGTAGACGTCAAATTCTTCTAATCGGTTTGTTAGGAAATATGATAGCTTGTTTGTTCTTTGACCTTAGTAAATCACTTATTTGGGCCATTGCATCTCGTGCAACTTGTGGCATGCTTAATGGTGAGCGTTGACATAAACATAATTATATCTTTTTTTTTTTTTTATTACTTACCCGCTGTCGATTTTATTACGCTTAGCTAATATTGGTGTTGCAAAAAGTATGCTTGGAGAATTGACTGATCGAACGAATCAAACTAAAGCTTTTTCACTTTTTGGCTTTTGTTTGGGATTTGGTTGTATCGGTATTGTATAACCTCTTTTATTTCATTAATTATATATGTTGGCTATATATACATATTATATTGATTATTTTTAACACTTTAATAATGTAGTTGGTAAGATTGTTCGATATTTTACACTTATGGTGGTTATATTCAATGATCCTAATGTATATTATAAATACAAATTTAATTCGTGATAAGGTCCAGTAATTGGTGGATATCTTGCAAATCCTGTTGACCATTTCCCAGGAATTTTTGGAACTGTGTTTTTTTTGACACAGTACCCTTATTTTCTTCCATGTGCTGTTGCAGCTTGTATTAGCTTTACTGGATTTATAATAGGATTCTTTATGCTTCCCGAAACTCGATTTCCCAAAATTTCGACTGATCCTGAACGAAAACCTTTCTTACCTTCTAATAAGAAGATATATGGTTCTGTTATCACGAGTAACGAAATAGGTAATAATAACAGTGGCAAAATTAGTATTGACGATGGTCGCTCAATAACATCAAGTGATATAATTGATGTTAACAAAAGTTCGACAAACCAGCAAAAAATTATTGTTAATAGCGGCATTTCTACAATAACTTATATTGTGATTACAAGTTATGCTTTTATATCTTTTCATTCTATTATTGTAGATGAAGTGTACTCTATTTATTCCGTCACTGCGATTAAAGATGGTGGTCTAGGATTTGTTCCAATGAATTGGCTTTGTCTTTGGCCTTTATGGGTGTAGTACAACTTGTTGGCCAGTTTCTAATCTATCCGTATTTAAGACGTCTAGTGGACACAGTGAAAATATACCGAATTGCTTTGATCTCTTATGTGCTTTGCTATTTTACATTTCCGTTGATCAGCCTATTTCGAAGAAAATTAAT